TGTCACTCATCTTTGCATCCCTCATTCCTAGGACAGGGACTAGAACAGATAGTAAGCCTTCAATAGTGTTTCACGGATTGGTGAATGGATCAGTGAACAAGAGAAGTACCGAGTGGGTGGCTACATTAGCATACCTCTAAATCTCTACTCCCTTTCTGTGATAATTCCACCCACACACAAGTGACCACTGGATTATCATGTGCAGTCCTTTAAAGTTGAGAGTGGGCAAGAGAGTGGGACTGAAGGTGAAGATAAGCAGGTTCCCCAGGATGTTTACACACTGCATCAACACCCACCGCTGTCTCAAGCTTTTCCTCAAGGTGTGCATATACACCAGCACCTCCTGGAACACATTTACTGTGATCTCCTAATACATTTTATCTGGGATCCAGCATCCCGTGCAACATACAAATTCATCTATTCACTCTGCCGACCATTGTACAATCGCATATCAAACAGAAACAATGTGCTGGACAGGATGGTAGCCTTGTAGATATAAATATGAATAGTTCAGCATCATTGCTATTATGACAATATTTTAGAGGAGATCACCAACTCTTGTCCCAGCTAACTTCCTAGTAAAGGTGGAAAACACCTCTTACAGTTCCCTATAGCAAGAGGGTAGGAGTGAGTGCTTACTGCCTTTGGGCAAAAGAACAGTTTCCTCCACTCTTCCTGATACATGCTCATGTTCCCATCACCATCTCTTGGATTGCCTTCAGTCTCTTCTTTCACTGCAACAAATTTTAGTTGAAGCCCCACCCTTAGCCTGCCCCACATTGTCCCCCTGCACAGGCACAGGTATTCACACCTGCTCCAGCTGGTCAACCAGGCTGCTCATAATGGAATAACAACTCTAACTGGAGGAGGATGGTGGTTTTACAATTGACCAGAGGCTGAACTGCATTGAATAGATGGAAAGCCTGATGGGGAATATGCCAATACTAAGAGGGACTTTGAGAAGCTGAAGAGAGAAAAGCTGAACCATATGGTTCCAACAGAGAACTTCTTTCTCTGTCATCTTCCTTGGGGCAACTACCAAGCAGAGAAATAAAAGTTTAATGAAGACACACAACCATTGTGGATTGAAGTTATCCACTAATAGAAATCTGGAGCTATTAGGTATCCATGGCACAAGGTGACAAAAGCCATAATTCTCTACAAGGACTCCTGTATGAAAATAGAATGGGTGGATGAAAGGATGAACAGATATATGAATGGACTGATGGACAGATAGATAATAGATTTATATCTTCTTCCTTTTAAAAAAATATTTTGTCACCTTTTAAGTCTATTGTATATTATCATAATATGATATGCTTCTATATCTCAGCTGTCTCCATATTGTGACAAATACTGAAAATGAGCAATTAATCTTTCAATTGTTCCATTGTTCCTAATCTTAGTGATGCTTTTACAGTAATCTCTTCTTTCAAATATATTTAGTTTAAGAAACTTGGCTTTATTTTGGCATAATAGGAAATCAAACAGCATTTTAGGACTTTCTTGCTAACATATTAAATGACAGAGTGCCTGGCATGGTGTCCTGTAAGTTCAGCATCATTCCTTTCAACCGTTAAGTAAGCAAGCCATGATTGTGTTGTGGGTGTCAATGAAAATTACTTAGTAGTTAGGAACTAAATATAAAAGCTTCCTTACATTCCTTATGATGATTTAAACATCCGGATGTGCTTTCCCTCCCATTGTTATGGATTCCCTTAAGTCAGATTTTCTGGGGATCAAATTATGGTTCTGCCATTTTTCAGCTGTGAGACTCCTCCCCTCTTCTATCAAGTCACTTAACGCCTCTAGAGCTCAGTTTCTTTGTCTGTGAAGTGGGGACAATAAGAGATAAAGATAAAGATGATATCTTTTTATTTTATCAGAAGAAAACAGTAAGACATTCAATACATATGAGTTTGAGCAAGCTCTGGGAGTTGGTGATGGACAGGGAAGCCTGGCGTGCTGCAGTCCTTGGGGTCACAGAGAGTAGGACACGACTGAGCAACTGAACTGACTAAAAACATTTCAGGGTTTACAGAAGTGTTCTGCATGTAGTGAATACTCTCTAATACAGAAGTCTGGTCTTTTCAGCTCTAAAGTGGAGGAGAATTGAATTCTTCATCAGAAAAACAACTGAACATTTGGAATGTATCAGCCACAGCTTATAGACTAGAAACCACACATAGGTAATGCCACAACAGAAATAAGGCAATGATTTGAGCTTCGTGTAATTCTTTTACAAACTTCATGGGATTGATTACCTTCAGGTCTCTAAAATCAACAATTAGCATTTTAGGAATATGTAAAAATTGCCTAATGCAAGTATAAAACAGCCTTTCCTACCCTCTTTATGATGGTTTATGGTTGTGGAATTGAATTTCAGCCAAATGTTATCAATCCAAAAGTAATTTAGGACCAGCTCAAAATACGTAACATGGAAATATTACATGCAACTCAAAAGTAAATTAAGTTTTTTTACAAGAGTGAAGGGGAACTCCAGAATCTGGATTTTTTTTTTAATTAGAAAGAACTGTTAAAGGTTATTTGAATAATACTAAGCAAAACAAGGGCTTCCCTGGTGGCTCAGATGGTCAAGACTCTGCCCCAATGTGGGAGACCCGGGTTTGATACCTGGATGTCGAAGATCCCCTAGAGAAGAGAATGAAAACCCACTCCATTATTCTTGCCTAGAGAATTCCATGGACAGAGAAGCCTGGTGGGCTACAGTCCATGGGGTCCCAAAGAGTCAGACATGACTGAGTGACTAAAACACACAAGCAAATCAGAGTACAGTTCACCTGTTCTCGGAATTACCACAAAAATATGCCAGATTATTTTATGATTAGCAGTGAAGCAAAGATAAAACAAAGAAAATACAATCAAGAAAGTGATTTATAAGGAAAAAATGAAATGCGTAACTTCTACACTTGCAACATATACATCTTGAGGTTCACATTTGCATTTCAAATAAGCATGAGATCACATTGGTTTTCCAGGCTTGAAGATGTCCCAGCACAGGGTGTCGACTAAAAATATAGTCACAACCCGGAAGTAGAGAGTGATTTAATTTGGTGGGCATGTTTAGGACTCTGAGCCTGGGAGACAGCATCTCAGTAGCTCTGAGAAAACTGCTCCAAGGAGGCAGGAGGGGAGGTCGGGCCATATACAAGTTTGCAACAGAGAGAACAAGCAGTCTGAACATCAAAGATCAGGTATCAAGTTAAGGAATTTAGCGTTCTGTGTATGGGAAGATGCAAGCCTCTGGGCTCACTGAATTCATTCCTTTCATATGCACCTCAGCTATCTGAGGCCAATCCTGTTTCCTTGATCACCTTAAGGAGTGGCATATTTGCTACTTGCATTCCCCCAGCTCCTCAGCAATCACCATGGGGGGTGGCAGCATCCACTGGATCCCAATTTTGGGAGCCCTCATTCACATTTGAAGGCCAGAGATTGCTGATGGCTCTGACATTTTTTGTTTATTGATATGGCAGGAGATATTTTCATTTCACAGTGTGATGTCTCTCTTTTTTAAATTATTGTTCAGTTGCTCGGTTGTGTCTGACTCTTTGTGACCCCATGGACTGCAGCATGCCAGGCTTCCCTGTCCTTCACTGTCTCCTGGAGCTTGCTCAAACTCATGTCCATTGAGTCAGTGATGCCATCCAATCATCTCATCCTCTGTCATCCACTTGTCCTCCTGCTTTCAATTTTTGCTAGCATCAGGGCCTTTTCTAATGAGTCAGCTTTTTAAAATTAATTAATTAATTAATAATTTGGCTGTGCTGGGTCTTCGTTGCTGTGCAGGTTTTTCTCTATTTGTGGCAAGTGGGGGCTACTCTCTAGTTGTTGTGCACAGGTTTCTCATTGTGGTGGCTTTTCTTGCTGTGGAGCATGGGCTCTAGAACATTTAAGCTTCAGTATTTGTGGCACATGGGCTCTGTAGTTGACAGGCCTGGCCTTAGTTGTCCTGCAGCATTTGGGATCTTCTGGGATCAAGGATTGAAACCAGTGTCTCCTGCATTGGCAGGCAGATACTTTCCTTCTGAGCCACCCGGGAAGCCCCGGGGTGATGGCTCTTGAAGAAATTAGAAGACACATTCTGTGTGTACTTGCAGCCATGTGGTTAGCGTGTCCCATGGAATAATGGCAGTGTGGAATCTCAACTGTTAGATCAGTTTGCAACACATAGTAGTATGCAACTCAGAGCTCATCATTATAAAGGGTAAATAATACAAGGAACCATTTTATTTTTGTCTGAACTCTTAAGTTTTTCATATTAGCAAGCCTTAATAGCACAAGCAAAAAAGAAACCAGGAGAGAATTTGCTCAAAATAGCACAGAGAAGAGGAAAAAAAAAAATCCTGTAAGCAACAACAACAAAAGCCCTTTTCTTTTGGCACTGTTACCTTGGTTCCCCGTTTCTGTATATTTTAACTTTTATTCTGTTTATCAGTTTCTATCTAAAAAATAATGTCTGAGCCAAATTTTCATCCTATGTAACTCTATGAGGATTCTCTTTTGCTTTCTTAGAGTCTAATTCTCCCATGGCGTTGCATGAGATGTAAATCTGACCCTAAGGGAGTATTCTTTCAGTGAGAGGAGAAACTGCCTTTCAGGGCAGCATGGTATCATTTAAATGTGTTTTTTTTTTAATGTAGTCTTTAAGGGAGATATAAAATTTATAAGTGGTAATGATATCATTTTAATCATTTCAAGCTAATAGACCAACAAAAAATGAGGGTGTTTTCTTCTTAAGTGAGTTTAATCAAATGCAGAGTTTGGGAGTCTCCAATTTAGAGATACTTCTTCAAATACGCACTCTTCTTGCTGAGTCACTGTGGTTTTCCTGGAATGGGTTTCTAAGGGTTGGAATTCACATGGGGTAGCGTTTTTTTCCTGTCTTAAAGAGCTTTTTAGACACCCCCCTTCCCATATCCAGCTCTTTCTCTGATTCTACTTGCTCTCCCGAGTCACAAGCCTGAAGACATGTCTCCATGAACAACCTGCAGGATTATGTGGCTTCATCTCTTCCTATTTCACCAGATAGAACTCTTCCTGGAGACAGCAATGAGAGGCATGGCAATCCAGGTTATGGAGATTCAACCTATTCTCAGTAAGATATTCATCTCCATGCCCATGTACATTGTGTACTAATGATTTTTTTTTCCCTTACTACTATAAAGATTTGGTGGTAACCAATTCTATGACTCTAATACAGGTATACCTTCTCAGTGCCTTGCCAGTTAGTAAAATTTGGGCTGTACTTTTTTTTGGGAGGGGGAATGTTTTTAAAGGACTGATCAACTTTTGTCAGCAATACTTGATTTCCACAAAAATATACTATTTCTTCAAAAGGACCAGAGAATGACTTTTTGGCAAGTATGGATTTTCTGGTTAAATAAAAATTGAAGAAGGGAAAAAAGAGGAAAAGAAAAACAAATAGGCTATGGATATGATTTATGTGTAGGGTTTAGGCTCTTTTCCTTTAAGACAGATACCTTTTCTATCTTGTACTCTAGAATAGTATAGTGCTCTCCAATAGAATTTTCTATGGTGATAGAAACATTTTGTCTGCACTAATACAATTGCCACTAGCCATATTTGGTTGCTGAACATTCAAAATGTGGCAAAATGTAATTGAGGAAATGAATTTGTTTTTGGGGTGTTTTTCTGGCTGCACTGGATCTTTGTAGTGGGACACCGGCTGGTCTTTGCTGTGCCTGACTTTCTCCAGCGGCGATAAGCAGGGGCTACTTCTAGCTGTGGTGCGCAGGCTTTCGTTGCAGAGACTTCTCTTGTTGCAGAGCATGGGCTCTAGGATGCCCAGGCTTTAGTAGTCGTGGCACATGGGCTTAGGTGTCCCACAGCATGTGGGGTCCTAGTTCCCAGACCAGGGATCAAACCCATGTCCCCTATACTGGCTGGGGTATTCTTAACCACTGGACCACCAGGGAAGTCCCAGAAGATATGAAATTTTAATGCTATTTGATTAATTAAAATTAAAATGTAAATCTCCCTACCTCATTATTTTGGATAGTGCAATTCTTGAATCTTAGGTTTTGTAATGTTGAGTTCATTTTTATTGTTCCCATTAGAGTAATAGATATTTACACTTCCTCATATTATTTTCCAATCTGATTGCCAAAGATAAAACACAAACATTTGTAATTACCTTCTTTTTATATATCCCAGGGAGAAAATGTTCTATATTAGCCTCTCTCAAAACTTACCCTGTTGCTGGAAGTTCATTCACCTTTTATTTATTTAGAAAACAGTTAATTAAATGAAGATAGGAAAAAGCCAAGCTTGATCTATTGTCTGGGAAACCTGGCTCCTAAGTATGGTTTTGGTCTTTTCAACGTAAAATTACTATAAGATCAAATTTGATTTGTATTTGCTAGCTAACCACTTTTTGATTTTTAATTGTTCTTTACTGCCCTAACAGTGCCTTCAGGGTCCATGCTGTAAGAACAAGTCATAATAAATTCCTTCCAGCATTTCTAGAATTTTAGTAACCGCTCTTGGAAGGTACCCAAAACATATTAGCATTGCACCAAAGTCTATCCAACCTTGGGTTACAATAAAACACCCATATGTTTTTTCTGAATGCTTTATAATTTATTATATAGAATACAATTTTAGCAAAATTATAATAAAGATGTTTATGACCTAATTGATGAAATTCTAAATAAATGAATTTGAAGAAAATAAATAGGTATATTACTGAAATACCTGATTTTAGTCATTCAGATATTTCAGTTTGTGAAAGTTGTATTGAGCTCAATCATGTAAAAATCTACAATTTGATATATTAAGTGTTAGTATTCCCTACACATATTGCTTGATGAATTATTAATGCATTGTTTAAAATATTGAGCACCATTTAAGATTTATATTAACTACTGTAATAACATACTTTCTAATAGATAAAATTTTAGATAAACTAAAAAATAAATCAGGAAGGGCTCCTCAAGACTACAGCCATATCTGTGGTAATATTAAAATTTATGTGTAGGTAAAAACAAATACTGAAAAAGAGTTGTCCTTAAAACTATCTTTAGAGACTTCCCTGGTAGTCCAGTGACTGTGAATCCACACTCCCAACACAAGGGGCCTGGGTTCCATCCCTGGTTAAGGAACTAGATCCTACATGCCCCAACTAAGAGTTCACATGCTGCAACTAAAAAACTCCATGTGCTGCAACAGAAATTGAAGATCTCATGTGTTGCAACTAAGACCTGGCGCAGTCAAATAAATGTTTTAAAAATTATTTTAAAAGTATCTTTAATTATACTTGGAAAAAATCTCAGTATCAACAACATACAATATTAAAAATGCAAGTTTGATAAAGTAATAAGTAAAATAATAAAGAAGAAAGTAATGAATATTTATTTGCTAAAATAAAATGATGTATTTAAAAGAAGAGGGCAAATATTTTCTTTTCTTAGGCTTCCTTCAATCATAGCTGAAATACAGTAAGAATTCTAACTAGGGAAACATAGATGATATTAAACATGAAAGTATGAGCAAACAATAAATCACAAAAGATGGGGGAAATGATACCCACTTGGATAAATCTTTTTGATACATTACTAGGATTTAGATGTTAGAGAGCTACCCTGGACATTAACTGTTACCTCCAGGCTTAGATGTTTGTGAAGAGATGAAACATAAGACCAGGAGTGGTTTTCAGACATTGGACACAAAACCATGAAGGTCTTTGAGCAGAGTTGGTTTACAGTCTTTACTTTGTGACTTACCCTCTCTCCCTACTGAGCTAAGGAAAGAACCAATGATGAGTAGGGGAAAATAGAAATTCCCTAATTCTCCACCAAGATGTTAAAACCCACCTAGATATTCTTAGAGAGCTTATGTATAGAAAAATTTAATAAAAATAGGATGCATTCATATCTTCATGAAATCGTAGAAATGAGAGACAAATTTAAAAGAACACAGTTCAAGTACGAGATAGTGGGTATTTAGGCAAATAACTTAGTTGTGTACATTAAGGAGGTAATGATTCTCAAGAAATTTAGATGAGAAATTTTGTTTAAATGCTATTTTTTTGCTGCCATTTAATTTGAAAACTGTTAAGGTGGGGGAAAATATGAAAGGCAGTTTAGAAATAAAGCCAGTCTCAAGAGATGAAACATGATATGTAAACTGAGTATAATGGAGGAGAAAAGTTCAAGAAGTCATGAGCAAATTCAGGGATGTTGAGAAACCAGTTCAACTTCCTTGAGTTTTTATTCATTAAGTATCCTGATTCCAAAAGTAAAGCTAAGTGAAATTCGAAGTACCATAGGCAACGTGGTTTTGACTGACTTAGAGTCTTATTAAAATGACTTTAGAGTTTATCAATGACGATGTAAGCAAAATAGCCTCTTGGAGAATAATTTTTTAATGGTGGTTTCTAACAAAAAACCACTCTTAGGAAAGAGCTACAAAGCAATTAATACTTAGAGCCACTCTGATAGTGCTGTTGTGTATGTAACCAATGTACATCACAGAATAAACTTGCAATGCCCTGTTTGCAAAAAGCACTGAAATTCTGATCTATGGTTATTGAATTAGAGAACCTTAGAGTTAGAAATCATCTTTTTAGATGTTGCTAATTTATCCCAACCCTTTCTGCAATACCCCAGCTGAAGGCTCATCCAGTTTCTTCATAAACACAAACAGCATCAGAGAATTTAGCAGATGGTTTTTATTTTCAGAGAGTTTTATTTGTTAAAATGTTCTTTTTTGTAGAGTTCCTAAGTGCATCTATCTTTAACTACCCTTCTCTAGTACTAGTTATATTTTCCCAAGACACTCAATGTAAGCTGAGACCTCCTCCCCAGAAAACCCTGGCCACTTGTTAAGTCCTCTCTTCTTAGCTGTTTTCATCATTACTTACTTACCAGGACTTACAGTCTTTGCCATCTTTCTTGGGTCTCTCCAGTTTGTCTATGTCCCTGGTAGACTAGGGACCCAAGAAACTGGTACAATACCCCAGGTGTTGTCTCACTGAAGCAAAGTAAGTAAAGTAGGACTGCCTTCCTTAGTGGAGCACTATGCTTCCATTTAAGATTGGGTCAAGTTCTTTGGCAGCTACGTCACACTGCTAACTCCTATTGGTCATGTGATTCAGAATGCAATGTTAGCTACAGGTGTTTCGTAGATAAGGAGGTTCGTTCTATGCTCAGTTTGCAAAGAATACTTATTGTAAGTGGATGTGAATTTTATGTTTCTGCATTAACTGAAATAACCATATAATTTTTTCCTTTATTCTATTAAAAGAATGAGACAAACCTCACTGATGCATTTTATAAATGCATAAATGGAACCAACATGGTATTGCTGGAATCAATCCAATTTGGTCATAATATATTGTCTACAATATGTATTGCTGCATTCTACTTGCACATATTTTCTTTAGAATGTTTGAATCTATCTTCATAAGTAATATCAGCCTAAATTATCCCTTTGTTACAGACTTGCCAGGTTTGAATAGTAAGGTTAGACTAGCCTCATGAAAGTGAAGTAGGAAGTGTTCCCTCTTTTTTAGTTCTCTGGAAAAGTTTGTGTGCTAATTCTCCCATAAATGTTTGGTAGAGTTTGCCAATGATCCATCTAGTTCTAGTTTGTCTTGTTTGTTTTGGTTATTCTTAAAGTTTTAAAATTACAGAATTAACTTCTTAAATAGCTGTGGGTCTTTTTGGATTTTTTTCCATAATAGCTATTTCATTAATGTCTGGTCTTATTTATTTCCTTCTTTTTGGATTACGTGGCAGTTCTTTTTCTATCTACCTGAGATAAATGCTTAACTCATTTCTTGTCAACCTTTGTTCTTGTTGTATATATGAAAACTGCACATGGTTGGGTTTTATTTAATCCAGTATTATTTTTGCCCTTAATGGCATAATTTAGTATATTTAACTAAATTAGCTATAATTAATTAATTAAAATTAAGTATATTTTATAATTAATAAATTAATGAATAAAATAATAATTTTATTAATTAATAAAATTAATTATAATTAATAATTTAGTATATTTATATTTAATGTAATTACTAATACCTTTTGACTAAAACCTATCATTTTACTGTGACTTTCTATTCATCTTGCT